AGTGATTAAATTGAAGGTAATTTGTTTGGGAATGGGGTCAGTTTTTAAAGAAAACCAGTTTATTGGTTAGTCGACGTTTCGGCTATATTTAAGCCTTCTTCAGGACACTAAAATAATTACAATAAATAAACATACACATCATTATACATATTGACTATTAGGATTAAAACAGATTAAAATTCAATAATATTACAATGATGAAGGATCAAGAACCAATCACAAGGAAACGTTTACGAAAATATAATAATAAATTTATCGGGTACCTACATCCAAAAAAGGTTTTCCGTGTAACAAATAATCTAAATAATGGGGAGTAAAATAGGTAGTATGTTGCTGTATCAAAATAGTACATTACTCGATGTTGATTAAAATATCTATGAATGGAACATATTAGAGGATTTAAGTGTGGAACAGAAAAAAGGGGGCCTAGACAAAAAACCATTCAGAGAAATTGAAAAGTGTATAAAACCAGAGTTATATTGTTGTTAAATGTCTGTGTCTCTTACTTCTGTCTATAAGATTAAAATACGATGTTTGTAAATTATCTATATCGTTGCGTTTGTTGACAGAGTTTTCTCGCTTTATACTGATCATTTCACTTAATAATCTCTTTTTCCAAATTGTCTGTTTATCAATGATTCGTGTAGAATCAAAATCAAAAGTATGTAATGTAGACAAACTGTGTTACTTCCAATCTTTGAGGAACCATATTTTATGATATTGACGCCATATTGGCGTCACTTTGAATATAAAACGATTTTTACAAAGCTTTTTTACCATTTTCAGTTGGCTTCCTGGCGACTTCCGGTGACATCACCATGACCTGGACATCCCCGATGCATTCAAAACTATACTCCAGCGACACTTCCATCAATCCATTGGACGAACCCATCAACTCCAACCAAGATGCACTAATAGGATCACTAATAAACATAGGAGCTATAGTAGGCCCGTTTCCTTTTAGTTTTTTGGCAGGTAAAGTTGGTAGAAAAACCGCTCTCCTATGCATAGGAGTTCCGCATCTTGCAGCATACCTCAGTTTCGCGTTTGGTAATAACGTGCTGTACTATTATTTTGGAAGACTGATTGGAGGAATAGCTGTAGGTGGTGGATACGCTCTGCTGCCTATGTATTTGACAGAAATAAGTGAAGATTCAAATAGAGGGATTTTATCTACATCGTTGACTTTCTTCTGGGCCTTGGGAAATCTGCTCCCTTATGTGATCGGTCCCTTTTTATCAGTGTTAATATTTAACTTGATTCTGGCCTGTTTTCCTGTAATATTCCTTATTTTATTTTTTTTTCTTGGAGTGGAAACTCCTTATTATTGGTTAACAAAAAATCGAGAGGATAAGGCGGAAGAATCCTTGATGTACTTAAGATCATTAAGTAAGAAAGGAGTAGAACTAGAATTAGACCACATAAAAGAAAATTTCAAAAGAGAAGCATTTTCTAGACATAATAAAAAATCCTGCGCTGAGAAAAGGCTTGATCATTTCCGTATCATTTATATCATTGCAGCAACTTGGAGGCGTTAACGCATTAAGCTTCTACTTACAACCCATATTCGACGCTTCTGGCAGTACCCTATCTTCTGATATATCGTCACTTATTAATGGAATAGCAATAATTTTCGCAAGCTTCATTACCCCATTAGCAATCAACAAATTCAAAAGGAAAACTTTGATAGTCTTTTCTTCTATAGGAATGACTTTATCATTAGCGATGCTGGGAACATACTTCTATATGCATGATTCCACTAGTCTTAACGTTAAGCCACTTTTCTGGTTACCACTTGCCAGTTTATTATCCTATTTATTTTTCTTCTCCTCGGGAATGTCCGTTTTACCTTGGACCATCGGAGCAGAACTATTTCCTACTAGCTGTAAACAAATATCAGCATCAGCTGTTTCAAGTTCCTGTTGGTTAACATCATTTTTAGTAACCCAGTTCTTTAACAGCATGGTCGATTTGATTACTACGGCCGGTGTATTTTGGTTCTTCGCATTTTGGTCCGCCTTCACAATCATTTTCACTATTGTTTTTGTTCCAGAAACAAAAGATAAAAGCTTTAGGGAGATTCAGGATATATTAGGGTCGTAATATTTTAAAATTTTTATGTTAAACTATATAGGGTGATTCAGAACTTATCAAAAAAAAATCTGGATGTACAGGGGACCCTTACAAATACAATTTTGTAAAGAAAAAATCAAAAAGGTCAGTTCGAAATTGCTTTAAAAATACACTTCTGCACGGCACTGGAAACTGGTCCACTGTAAAACCTGACCTCGCACAATGCGACCGGTATGGCGGCGTGATAAAAACGGACAAAAACTTTCGCAAGGAAAGAAATATGTAAATAGAATTTTATCGCACCTATTTTATATCGGCAAATTCAAATGCTTTTGCCTTTATTAATTATTAATAAAATTAATTTGTGTTTTTAAATAATAAAATCATTTGACATACCCGATGCTGCAACAGCAATTGTTCAAAATTTTATCCACTCACGTGTAAACACATTTGGGTCCGTCTTACTCACTTTCTACGAACTAACACAAATGATGTCTTGCTTCACCATAACACAAATACTTCACCATAATACAAATGTTGTCTTGCTTCACCATAAATTAAAACGATATCCATCAACTCTGAGTTGCTATACACGCAAGCCATTTTTGACACTAACTACTAAAAACCTGATGTAAATAACACAGATAACAGGTAAAAACTACCGCAACGACGGATTTCAGTATTAGGAGTCACATGGCTCTCCACGCGTATTGCGAATGACGCTAGAGACTACAGTTGTCCAGGCATGTAGTGGTTTAATGTGCTATAACTTCAATAATTTTTTTCTCAGAAACTATAAGGATTTTACAAAATTTTTTTTTACAATATTGACTCCATTTCTCATGCCGCATCTATTCCCAAATTTTTTTGGATAAGTTGTGAATCACCCTGTATATTTCTATTTTTACTGTTTAATTTAAAATGTCCTTTAAACATTTTCTCTTGTTATTTAGTACATTCAATTTACCGAATGTTAAAATTAAGAATAGTAAGTAGTAAGATTCAGTTCTGTAAGAAAATATGATTTGATTTTATTTTTAAGGTTTTTATTAATCTAATTCATTTCCCTATTTTCCGAAAACTTTATAGAATGATTGCTAAGTTCGATGGTGAAGAATTTTGTTGATTTTTAGAATAAGATCAGTTAGTTCTTGCTTAATTAATATTAAGATGCCTTGACATATTTTCTCCTTAACAAAGTAATTAGGTGGTACTGACATCTGTACCCTCATTATTAATGCTTTGTTTATAAGATAATATTGTTTTTGATTCTACAGTAATAAATGTCTCTTTTGCATTCAAGGATAAAAGTTCTTTGCGAAATCCATAAAAAAAAATGTAAAAATGGGAGGAAAAATTTTGGTATTTGTGATTCATAATTTGATGTTTAGTATTATCCACGATATCCTGTACACCTAAAATATTTGTACCGTTCCTCAAATGCAACTGTAGACTTCAACGTTGTTAAAAAATTATTTATTAAATACTTAATAATTGTTAAAACTATTTAATAATTGTTAAAACTAATGTTTATAAGATAAATAAATGTTTGTAAATTATGGCTTGTTAATTTTTCCTAACAAACTAAGCCGGCAAAAGAATTTGTGCTTATATCTACAGCAGGGATGCACATACCGCGGCCCGCTGTCGATGTTTATGCGGCCCGCCAACGAATTTTAAAAGTATTCTACTCTCCGCGCTCCGGTCCAAGCATATTATTACGAGACTAGAAATCTGTCGCATCAACTAGATTACAGATTCGCGAAACACGTCTATCCCCGAACAAAGTGGATGGTTCTCGATGTTTGGTAACTCGTATAAATACGACGCATCGCCGGCTACCGGAGCAGTTAAGTTTTGACTACGGGTAGGCGAACGTTATACTGTTTGAGAACTGTAATCTGTGACGAGTAAATATTTCGTCGTTCGAACTTGGCTTTTACCGACTGTAACATATAATATTAATTTTGATATGGATAAACCAGGCCCCAGTAAGAAACGTAGTCGTAAGGTTGAAGATGAAAATCGACAGTTTCATGATATTTGGACCGAAAAATACTTTTTTATTTCATCGCATAACAAAATTGTCTGTTTAATATGCAAGAGTAGTGTTTCTATTCCGAAGGAATATAATGTGAAAAGGCACTATGAAACCCAGCATCCAACTTTTACCAAATTAACTGGCGAAAATCGAACGCAAAGAATTTCCACTTTACAACGGGAACTAATAGGCCAGCAATCTATGTTTACAAAACCAATTCAAGATGCTGAAACAGCCACTGAAGTTAGCTTTGAAATATCTCGAATAATAGCGAAAACTTGTCGGCCTTTTAAAGATGGTGAGTTTGTTAAGCAATGTTTGGATATCGCCGCAAAAAAAATTTGTCCGGAAAATGTAAAGAAGTTTGAAAAAATTCAGTTAAATCGGATGACTGTTCAAAGAAGAATTACCGCATTAGCAGATAATATAGAAGAGCAATTAGCTACGAAATCGAGAAGTTTTGAGTATTTTTCTATAGCGCTCGACGAATCTACAGATATAAGTTCAACTGCTCAACTATTAATATTTTTACGAGGTGTAACGCAAAATTTTGAAGTGAGTGAAGAACTGATTGGTATGAGTTCTTTGACAAGTCAAACCAGGGGAAGTGACATGCTCAAAGCTCTTCTAGAAAAATGTTCTATAATGGATTTGGATTTAACGAAAATATCTGGAATTACAACTGACGGAGCACCTTCAATGGTTGGAAGTACATCTGGGATAGTAACTCTGTTAAAAACATATTTACAAACTAAAAACATAAATACCAAGGAATTAATGCAGTTTCATTGTATTATACATCAAGAGGCCCTCTGTTCAAAATTATTGGGATTTGAAAATGTTATGAAAGTTGTAGTACCTACCGTAAACTTTATAAAATCACGAGGTCTCAATCACCGACAATTCAAACAATTTCTCGAGGATATTGAAAGCGAATATGGTGATCTCCTGTTTTACACTGAAGTAAGGTGGCTAAGTCGTGGGTTGACACTACAGCGATTTCTTAACTTGATTGAAGAAATCCAACTATTTCTGGCGGAAAAGAAAAACGACGTCCCCGAACTCGACAACCCTGATTGGCTGTGTGACTTAGCGTTTCTTGTAGACATCACAAATCACTTGAATGTCTTAAATACGCGACTCCAAGGCAAAGATCAATTGATTTCGCAGCTATACTCTCATGTTTCGTCCTTTCAATGCAAATTGAGTCTTTTCAGGACACAAATCAATTCAGCCAATTACGGCCATTTTCCGAACTACAAAAAAATTATGGAGAAGTTCAATAAAACTGACGTCAATTTCGCTCATGTTGAAAAAATTGATATTTTGATACAAGCTTTTGAAAATCGTTTTGTAGACTTCAAAAAAGTTAAACCGCTATTGGACATTTTCAGCAATCCTTTCAACATTTCACCCGAAAATGCGCCGGAATTAATGCAGCTGGAATTAATAGACATGCAAAATGATGATAATTTAAGAAACAAATTTAATGAAGGTAATTTACTCAACTTCTACCGTTGCGTTGATAAAAACGCTTATAAAGAGTTGCGAATAAATGCATTGAAATGCGCAAGCTTATTTGGATCGACGTATATTTGTGAACAAACGTTTTCAGTGATGAAACTTAACAAAACGAAAAACCGAAACCGTCTGGCAAATGAAAATTTGGAAGCAATTATACGTGTGGCTACAAGTAATGTGGAGCCAAATATAAAAAAACTTGTTAGTTCAATGCAATGTCATGCATCAAAATAATAAAACATGAAATATTACATTGTAATGATTACATAATTATTACAACAAACATTTTTGAAGGTTATTTTATTTTTGTCATTGTATTTCATACTATTTAAAAATAAAAAAATTTGTGTTAATAAATATTGTTTGTAGTGGCCCGTCCTTGGCTTATATTTTTTCCGAGTGGCCCCTGTTCCCTATAAGGCTGTGCATCCCTGATCTACAGCTAATTAACTAAAAAATAAAAAGGAAACAAGAACTTTGTATTCTACTGTGAAAACTAACGAATATTGGTTTAACTAATTAATTTCTTCAATTTTCTACATCTAATTCATTAGCTACAGAGAAAGCTCACAGTAGAATATGGTGGTTTGCGATGTATATTATACATAAAAGCTACTTATACTGTTCTTCAAGAGTCAGTCTTCGGACCCTTATTATTTCTAAACTGTTTGTAAACGATATTATTTCAACTATAAAGTTTTTCTATATGCTGATGATCTTAAGTTTTATTTATCTGTGACAGATTTGAGTGACAGTCATTTGCTTACTTATGATACAAAAGTGTTCTGGAGTTCTGGAGTTGTGGGGAGGGTAGCAAAGCTACAGCACTTAGGCCCCATTGGGCCCCTTGTACTTCCTCCCATTAGAGAGATCAATCCACCTGAGCCGCTAGCCAGCCTATAACAGTGAAAATGGTGGTGACGTTGCTCAGGGGGATCTCTCTAATATAGGCCATTGAAGGCTAGCGTTCTCCCAACATGGACTCTCTTGTTGACGAGATGGTAGTGCATTCACATAGTACATACAATACTGTATCGTCTTCCTGCTCACAGCCCCTACAAAGAGGTGTTTCACACTTCCCTATACTGTAAAGGTGTTTCCTTATCCAACAGACAACAACAATTTGAATACCTGTCACCACGCGAAGATTTATGGCCAGGTATTTTTTGGCTGTGTCTTTGCTAGGATACACTAAGAGCTCCTTAGCGAAGTGACAGCTAATCGTTTCATCTCACCGTTTCATGAATTCTTTGTGGGTGTCTTCCTTAATAATTACAGCAAGTGCCGACAACGGAAGCACACTAGAGGGACCGGGTCCAAAAATGTTGAGGCCCGATGCGCTCCTGGCTAGCTTGTCAGCTTCTTTATTGCCATAGCACCGTTCGTGTCCCTTTACCCAACATACAGATATACTGTTAAAAGTGTTAAAAGTGACATTTTATTTTGTGAGTAAGGAATATTGTGGAACGAGAGTAGGGAGTGGAGCAACTCCACGAACAAAATAAAATCGCTTT